CTATGTAGTTGAGACTGACCCGGAACTCACTATGTAGCCCAGGCTGGTCTTGAACTCAAAGCGATCCTCCTGCCTCAGCCTCCCAAGTGCTGAGATTACAGGCATGCTCCACCATGCCTGGCACCTTTTAAAAATTTTATTAATTTATCCCAAATACACCTCCAGCAGCACTGGACACACAGCAAGCCTTATTAAGTAGGTACTGAATTTAATTGAAGTTCTTTCTTCATTCTCAGAGGATTTACATTCTAAGGCCTTTTTTTCCCCTCCTAATTTCAAGAAGAGTTGATTTCTTGAATGTAGTGCACTTGGAAAGGCATTTTGAGGGCTGTGGATTTTATTATTTAATTAATTTATTTTTGGTACCAGGGATCGAACTCGGGACCTTGCGCTTGCAAGGCGGGCAGTGGAACCGCTGAGCTAAATCCCTGATCCCTGAGGGCTGTGGATTTTATAATCATAAAATAATGCTGAGTGGGTGTGAGAAAGTGTGGCCAGGACTTCAGGAAGGTCGTGGCCTGAGCCCCTGCTGCCCTCAGAGCAGGGGTGCTGTGCGGTAGTTCCCCAGGTGTGGCAGGAAGGGAAGGGACAGTGTCACACAGGTGTTAATGGTCTGCTCTCAAGGACGTGGTGAGGAGAGAGGTTTGGAGAACCAGACAAGGGCTCCAAGGCCCAGGACCCCTGGAGAAAAAGTCCCTTTCTCCCCTCCTGGGGCAGTGTACACAATGGGAGAGGTCAGGCCGGGTCAGACCCTGAGAAGCCACCAAACTGGGGCTTCAGGGGCCCTGGCAGCTATGAGGCCCCTTCCCAGGTCCCAGGGATTTATGTCTATGTGTACGGCACTAGCAGCTTTAAAAAAATAGTGTCAGTCGGGCACAGTGGTACATCCTATAATTCTAGCACTTAGGAGGCTGAGGTAAGAGGATAGTGAGTTTAAGACCAGCCTGTTTTACATAGTGAGACCTAGTCTCAAAAAATAAAAAAAAATGATCAAATGAATGTTCCTAAATTCCACACAGCCTCCACAGAACCCAGATGGAGGGTCTGCTGCCCAGGTAGGTTGAAGATTCTGGCCCAGGCTGCCATTTGGGGGCATTGGATAAGAATTTGATTTCCCTGAGCGAGTGGCTTTTGGGCTTTTTCACCAGGCCTCTGAAAGCCAAGCAAGTGTAGAGATGGACGACCTATGAGGCTGGAGCGCCCTCTGCTGGCAAAACAGAAGCACAGCCAGGAGTGATGCGTCCTTGTGGGACTGTCAGGCTCCCAAAAAGCAGGCCATCTGGGTTTAGGCATCAGACAAGCCCCTCTCTGGAGGGAATGGACACAGAGGATCTCACACCACGTCTCTAAAATTCAAATGTGAGCATGCTCTTGTGGACTCGCATTCCACTGCCCCCTAAACTGGGGTAACGCCAACTGGATGTATTACAATTCGATTTTGACACTACGCACCCCAGAGTTACCATCAGACTCCACTGCTGTGGGCTCAGTGCCCCACCAGACCGCCCCTGCTTTGGATGTCAGCTGCAGCTGGGGTCCCTAAGATGCCTGGGTTTCTGACCAGCCAGCTACAACCGTGGGAGTTCCCGTGACCACCTCATTTTAGGCGATTTACCAAAAGGAACCCAGAATGTGTAACGGACTGAGAGGCTGCTTTTGCTAAATGCACCGACTCTCCTCTTTCTTTGACAGATGCCCGATAGGTAGCTACAAGCATCTCCACTTTCGTTTTCCATCTGTCTCCTTTATTTCCTTAAACTTTAGTTAGATTTAAGCTGAGCTCTGTGTGGAGACACTAATTGCTTAAGGAGAATCTGGCTGAGATGCTAAGATGGGTCAATTGGCCCTACATTTACCTGACCTTCCTTGTCCACCAAGCTAAGAATAGTTAAGGTATTTTCAAGGACATTCAACTTTCAGCTGTTTCTCAGTTTTCCAGTACCAGGAAGAATCCAGGGGCTCATGCCTGCTATGCAAGTACTCTACGACTGAACTATACTCCCAGCCCCGTTTTCAATTGTTATTTTGAGCCAGGTTCTCACTAAGTTGCCCAGGCTCTTTTCAAACATACGGTCCTCCTGTCTCAGCCTTCCAAGTAGCTAGGATTATAGGCATGGGCCACCACTCCCAGAAACAGCTGCCAGCTTTTACGATGTCCTGTTCTGGACCCCCCCAGAACAGTGCCCCGAAGTCTCCAGCTACGGTCCTGAACCTGCAGTCACCTTGGATTTGGAGAATGAGAAAAGTAGAGCCTCAGATAGATCCCAGGATATAATCAACCGCCTAAGTAGGAGCAATTTCTCTTGGGAACACGGCTTCTCAGAGCTACCCCGCAGAACCAGAACTGAGGTAATGATCATCCGGATCACAGTTTGACCAAGACTGCTCAGTTATGCTCACCTCTCCGCCTGTCCCAAATCTTCCTCTGTTTAGATCCCAATCTCCCATCAGTGCTACCAAGGACGGGGCTAGGGGAACAGGTCCCCTTGACTTCTGGTGTGTCCATAGTCCTTCTGCCTTCATCACTGTGTATCTCTTTGATTGGCGTTGTTGGGATTCTCTAACGCTCTGGCCACAACACAGTTGCACTCTAAGGGAAGAACCCAGGAACAGCCCGTGAAGACCCACATAGTGAGACCCAGGAAAGGGTGCAACACTGTGCAGGGCCCCCTTTCTGTGGAGTCAGGGCACATCACACTCTGGCACATGGCGTTGTAACTGGGACCCACCAACCTGAGTCCAGGGTTTTATGGGCGTCTCATCAGGTGGGAATGACTGATTGAACAAGGGCCACACTGTCTCCTGCCCCTTCTGCCTGGCGGTCTGAGGACTGCAGTCCCAACCTCCAGTCACCAGCCCTCATTCTGAAGCTATCTAGGGATGCCGGTAAGTCGTCTCATTAGCATAACAAAGACACAGTAACTTGGGAAATTCCAAGGGTTTTTGGAGCCCTGTGGCAAGAACTGGGAAAAAGACCAGGTCTTTTTTTTTTTTTTTTAGTTAGTTTTTTGTTTTGGTGGTGCTATGGATTGAAGCCAGGGTCTCAGGCACACTAGGCCAGTGCTCTGCCACTGAGTTGCATTCCCGGCCCCAGACCAAGTCTCTTTACTGTCTCTCCACACAGCCATACATGCACAAAGAGTTGTGTCCTAGGTATCTTGGAAGTCACAGCAGCCATCCTACTCTGGTTCATCCCCTGGACTTCCCAAGGCTGCGGCAAAACAACAAATGCCCTCTGAGAGACACCTCGTTGTCCTTCCAGAAGAGAGGCAACCTTGGGCAAGAGCAGCTTGGAACCAGCTGCCTGTGTTTCCCCTCCCCTCCGGGATGCCAGTTTCCTGAAAGAGAGCTGTTGCTTTTCTCTGGTTGGAGGCCACTGGCCAGAAGCCAGCCTTAAGGACACAAGCAGGCCCTGCCAATCATTGCTTTCTTTTGTTCAAAACAAAACAGAACAAAACAAATCCCATGCCCCACTCAACCAGGAAGGCCTGGTGCCCTGTGGCCGTGGCAGCTGCTCCCAGAGCAGACACAGGAGGCTGCAGCTGCGTCCCTGACCTGCAAGTCCTGGAGCCCAGTGTAACCCACCAGCATCCTGGCTGCCACTGCTGCAATAACACCCCTGGCCTGCGGGGATCAGGACCATTTCTGGGGTGGCCCTTGGCTCCTTGAATGCCAGCCCCAAAAACTGGAGTGCATATCTGGGGTAGGCATTAGCCTGGGTCCTAGCTGCCTTTCCTAAGATGCAGAAGGTGGGGGGGATTCCCTAACTTGGGGAGGCAGCCAGGAAGTACGTGGTATCTCCTGCTAGGGCCTGCACTGCCCAGACCACTTTTGCAGGGCTGACTTCTCTGGGCGAGTCCTTCTTCGTCACACAAGCCCGAAGCCTGAGGTTGGAACACCTCCCAGGGTATTCCCAAGGCCCAGCACTTGGTGTGCCAGAGACAGCTGCTCTGTCTGGACCCTGCTGCACCCTGCTGGGGGCCGCCCAGTCTGAGGAGTGGGACTCCATGCTTATTGCAGGCCCGACCTTGGGCTGGGTGTCTGTGTGCGCGGTTCCACTAAATCTTCACAGCCACCTGTGAAGGAGGGGTACTGTCATCATTCTCATTTACAGATGGGGAAACGGAGGCAGAGAGATGGTGTTTCGAGGTCGCAGAACTGGTAACTGGTAAAGCCAGACAGAATTCGAAACCACAACTGAGGGTGAGTGCTTGGAGAAGGCCCGCAGCCCCTCCCTCCCACCCTCCCGCCTCCAGTCAGCCTGCCCTGGGCCACAGCAGAACCTCACCAGCTCTCCTTTGAGCCGCTCCTATTGGTCAGCCCAGCCTGGCCAGAATGTGTCTGCTACCAGTTTATTCCTCCCTGTGCCACAGAGAGGAAGCCAGCCCCATTAACTGCAGAGGGATGGGGAAGCGTGTTGGCTAAGACCTCGGGGTGCTTCTTGCTCTTGCCCATCACTGGTTGGGGTATCTCGGGCGGGAGCTTAGCTGCTCCATGCCTGCACGTCCCCCACGGTCAACGGTCTTCACACACTACGGGAGCATCAAGACACATGGAGCTGGGCATGGAGGGAGGGGCTGCTGTTTCCAGGGGTGCAGCCTGACCACCTGCAGAGGATGGGCCGGCACCTCTCAGCCAGCTCCGACCTTGACAGCTCTGTCTGCGTGCTCCTGCCACGGTCTGTGGAGGCTGGCCCCAAGCAGGTGGAGCTGTCACCTCGCTCCGAGTGAGCTGCCTGGGGGGCACAGCCCCGTGCCCAGTTTTCCTTCTCGGCAAAAATGCAAGGTAGCCCTCAGTAACCCTGAATCATGGTGGGAACGATGCGAACACAGGCCTTGGCAAAGTCTGCCCAGGTGTCAGCGGCTGGAGCCTTGGGGCTCAGATTTCAGGCTGGGGTCTTGGGGGGCAGAAGCTGAGGTGGGGGCGGGGTCAGAGGAAGGCAGGGCAGATTTAGAATTTAGGAAATTCCTCAAAGCGCAGCCCTTGCTAGGACTTTTGGAGCTGACCTGACACCTAGCGGCCACAAGCAGGAATGACTTCATCTTTGGGGAAGATCCCAGGGCCTGGGCAGTTTGGGGATTGGCTGTCCACCCCTCACTGGGGTGGGGCAGCTCTCATCAAGGGGTGGCCTGCAGGGCCCAGGGTAGTGGGGTTAGATTTTAGCCCCTCGTGATGCTCTCATTCCCCAAACCCACTCAAACAAAAATAAGGAGAAGTAATTGTCTCTTCAATATTTCATAAAAGATGAGAAGTATTTTGGAAAAACTGCAGTTTTATTGGTCCATAACCATTACAGACTTGCAGTTTGCTCGTTATACATTTGGATGCTTTGTGGCCACTCCTTCTGGCCCCCATAATTCTTAGGGTCCCACCCAGACCCCAACAGCTTTTGGATGTTTGTTTATAGACAGAACATAGAGAATTTTATGGGTTATGAAAGATTTGAGAGACACGACCTCTGACTTCAAAGGCTTGCCTTTCTTTGGGCAGACAAGAACAGCTGTGTACAGAGCACTTGATGTGACTGGAGAGTTTCAGCCCATAAATTCCTTGTTGCTTCAGCTTCTTTTACCTTCGTCATCCTGATTTTGATTCTGAATCCGTTTCACCACACGCTGGATGGAAATTCACCTCTAGGAGCAGGGGTGAGTCTTCTGCAGTGCTTGCCAGTCAGGGAAGCCCCTCTAGCCACCTGATCCAGCGCCTGCCCTTGTAGGTCCACAATGGTGACCGGCCAGGTTAATCAAAACCTTTTAGGCTGGGCGCCAGTGGTGCAGGCCCGTAATCCCAGCTACTGGGAGGTTATGGCAGGAGGATGGCAAGTTCGAGGCCAGCCAGGGTACATAGCAAGACCTAGTTGTAAAATAAAATTTAAAATGGGAGGGGGATGTAGCTTAAAACAGGACTGGGAATGTGACTCAGAGGTACAGTGCTTGCCTAGCATGTGTCAGGCTCTGGGTTACCATCCCTAGTGCTATGAAAAAAAGAAAGAAAGAAAGAAAGAAAGAAAGAAAGAAAGAAAGAAAGAAAGAAAGAAAGAAAGAAAGGAAGGAAGGAAGGAAAGAGAGAAGGGGGCCAGAAATTTAGCTCAGTGGTGCCGTGACTGCCTGGTAAGCACAGGTCCTGAGTTTGATCCCCAGTACCAGGGGGGAAAAAAAGAGAAAAGAAAAGAGAGAAGGGAAGGGAAGGGAAGGGAAGAGTTGAGTTCTGGAATGGATGAGGAAGTCTTCATTTCATTGCTTCCATTTCTCAGGTGGAACAAAGAGGCTCCAAGGCCACACACCAGGTGGGGCTGGGCCACGACCAGGGGTCAGGTCTCCTGATCTCCTGCCCTGGGGTCCCCGCGTGTGACTTTTGGGATTGGCTTCCAAAGGTCCCTCCCTCCTTTCTTCAGTCTCTGTGTCCTCTGTCTCTACCTCCCACCCTGGAGCAACTGCTTCTGCGCTCTGATCTCTTCCGAGGGGCTCTTTCCTTTCTGCCCAGCAAATCCATCACAGTCCCAGTTTGTCTTTATGGCTCGTAAGGAGGCCGCCCGGAACTCGCCTGCCGATGGTGCTGAAAGCAGAAGGCCCCTCGCCTCCCACAAAGGGCACACCACCAGCAGCCCAGAACCAAGCCCGACTTTATTTGCTCACGCCCAGGCCTGGCCACGGCATTCGTCTCCTTTAGTCTCCTCGCGATGACCATCCCCCTTGCCAGGGCTCCTGCGGGACGTCTTCCCAGACCACACTTGTTGCTATGACTTCTGCTCTTTGAAGGAACTGGTTTGGAAGGTGAGGGAGTAAGGAGGAGGCCAACACAGCCTCTTGGCTGACGGGCAGAGTGTTAGGCCGCTCAAGTTCACACGAGGCCATTTAGAAAACTCCCTTTCATCTTGGCAGAAGGTGTAACGTGGGTTAAATTCAGTGTTGCCTGGGGCTGCAGCACTGATTTACATGACTGGCCTGGGGTCCGGAGATTTAAATTTTAGAACGTGCACACTCTCTGACCCCAGTCATGCTGGGTGCACCCCACAAGCCTGCGTTAGGGGGACCTGTGTGTACAAAACATCATACACGTGGCTGTGTGTGACTGCTGTTTATAGCAGGAAAATATTAGCTCCAATGCCTGTGAAAATGAGATTAAATTATGCTGCAGTTAAAGGGACTGAGATGGATCTAAATGTACCACTGTGGAAAGATCACCAAGATGTATTGTTAAGGTAAAGCAAGCTCAGAGGTCTGAGTCTGTTTATGATTAAAAGCTGTCTATGCCCGTGTGTAAAACAATTTGTAATAAGAACATATGTGTGGTGTGAGTCTACCTTCCAAATGCCTTCAGGCATGAACTCATTTGATCCTCAAAAGGAAACTGAGGCACAGAGACTGGGTGACTTGCCCAACATTGCACAGGAATGGAGCTGGGATTAGAACTCAGGCAGTCAGAGCCTGTGCTTTTAAGTATTCTCTTCCTCACATCTACACTCGTGTGCACACACGCACATACACACACACAGTTACAAGTACATGAAAACGCATGAAAATGCTCTCGTGGACTTCTTCCCAGAGCCCTTTGGGAGGCAGAGTGAACTGGGGAGGATTTAAGAGGACCTTCATTTTTTCTTTGCTGCCATGTCTGTGGATTTAAATTTTTACAAGAAGATAGATTTTTGTAACAAAAGGGAAAAGATTCATGCAGCAAGAAACCTACAGCTTTGCTCTTCTGACAGAATCGACAAAGCAGTGTAGGCACGCTGAGGGGTAACTGGAGGAGACCCTGAGAGCCCCCGCCTGGGGCCTCGGGGACCCAGGCCCCAGTTCTGCCTCTGGCCGTCTGACACTGTCTGCACACCGTGGGAGTTCACTGTACCGGGCCCCTGCTGGAACCTGGGCACTCCAGGGCCCAGAGCTCTGCCCCAGGGCCTGCTGTCTCTTGGCCCTCTTATCTGTGTCTGCTGGTCTTGTCAGATCCAGCTGAAGCATCAGCACCCCTGGCTGGGCACCTGACACAAACCCCAGTTCCTCTTCTCACCTGGACAGGGCCTTAGCAGGTGCACTCGTCCCTCTCCTGTGGATGGAAGCGTCTGGCCTGGCCCCCAGGACACAACTGAGGCTCAAGCTTTGCTACAGAAAGGAGCTGCAGAGGAGAAGAAGGTGAACAGGGATGAGGCTGCAGCAGGGCAGGAGCCTGGTGTCCCAGCAACTTATGCCCACCCTGGGCCCCCTTGGGGAGCAAGGGAAGGGCATGGGGCCCCAGATCACCTGAAGTTCACCATGCCCTTGCTCTCCTCCAGCTTCTTGATCAGTTCCCCAACTTGGTCCTGGCTCATAGGGACCTTGTTTTGCTGAGGACATGGATAAGGATGTTACAGAGCTCTCTCCACTCACCCCATCTCCAGCGACACCCACAACACCTCACTCCTCTGGGGACCGTGGGTATAGACTGAGAACTTAGAGCAGACCAAACCCCCCTTGCAGAGGGGCTGCAGAGGGCTCCCCTTTGTGAGGAGCAATAAGGCTGGAGGAGATCAGGATCCAGGGTGAGCAGGTGGCCCTGGGGGGACAGGATCTCTCCTGTGTTGCACGTAAGGTCGTTCTTGTTCTCAGCTCAGGCCTGGCTAGGCCCCTTGATCATGGCTCTGGGCATTGAGTGTCTTATCTATCCTAGCCTGGGCCACCTAGAACCAGAATGTCCTCTCCTGGGCCCAGTGCCCTCCTAGGATGTCCTGCTGATGACCTTCATGTGTGCTGCAGGATGCCTTCAGCACCTTTGTTGTAGGGGGGTGAGGGGAATGTGGGATTTCAGGCAGGATGGGACTCCTGGACCCTTCATTTGGACAGATGGGGTCCCTGCTCCTCTCATTCTTTCTTCTCAACTTCCCGGTAGCCAAATGCAGTGGGGAGGAGGAGCTGCGAGGTGAAGGTATCTTGGGTGATCCGTGGCATTGCGCCACACAGCACAGAAAAGGACTTGGGCAGGGGGCTAAGGGAGGGCTTGGTTTTCCCTCTGGGTCAAGATAAAAGAGGTGAGTGTCCTTAGCCAGTCCCAGGAAGCTCTGTGAGTGTGTGCTGTGCTCTCTTCCCTCCTCTCCCCCACCCTGGCCTCACGCATCCCCCCATTAGTCCATGTGTGCTGTACACAACGACCACATTCATCATGGGGAGTTGGTATACGCACATAGCACATATTAACTGACACGCACGCACACACGTACACACGCACCTGTAGCAGAGCTCTCCGGAACTCGCTCACAGGCATCTCCATTGCTCCGGTGGGGTTCAAGCTCTTGAAGAAGGCCACAAGTGGGATTTTGTGCTGGTCCACGTAGCTCTACAAGAAGCAGGGTGCCTTATCTACTGTCCCTCCCTCCACCCCTCCCCTCCCGGGGTCCGGAACCCACCCACTCTGAGTCTGATGGAAGGGGAGAAGGCGGCTGAACAGCTCCAGGCTCTCAGTGTTGGCGCTGTGCAGGCTGAGGCTGAGGCTCCTGTTTGCGTCCTGCACCCCGCCCCACTGAGCAGTGGTTCTGTCCTTCACATCCCCCCTCGGTCTGCGCAGTTCAGGGGCCGCACGCAGGGGTCACATGGTGGTCCTCTCTACATGTGCTGCTCAGGTTAAGACCAGGAGAGACAGCCCTATGGGGAGGAGCTGGGCTGTTTGCTCTCTCAGAGGTTGCAGGACAAGACCACAGCCATGTTGTGTGGCTGGACAAAGGAGAAACTCCTAGGATTCTCACAGATCCCCACAAATGCACATATGGAGAACAATTTGTTAGAATACTTTAAAAATAATATTTCAAGACAGGTGTTATGGTGCATACTTATTTTTCCCCCTCATTAAATTTATTGGTATGTTTATTTGTTTGTTTTTGTTTTTTGAGACAGGGTCTGACTATGTAGTTGAGACTGACCTGGAACTCACTATGTAGCCCAGGCTGGTCTCAAACTCTCAGTGATCCTCCTGCCTCAGCCTCCCAAGAGCTGGGATTACAGGCGTGCGCAACCATGCCCAGCTTATCATTGGGATCTTGTACCTTTACATGATATGTCTTGGTTCTTGTTTTTTCCCCATACCCCTATGGTGCATCTTTATAATTCTAGCACTCTGGAAAGCTGAGGCAGAACTGTGGGCTCAATTCCAGCCCAGTCAACGTCAGAACCTAGTAGGATCCTGTCTCAAAATATGAACAAAGAGCTGGGATGTAGCTCAGTGAAAAGACCCTGGGTTCAAGCCCCAGTACTGAAAAAAAAAAAGTTTTCTTTCAAAATATTATTCATATTGGAAAGTATTTTTAGATTAGCAGAATGAAGAAAACAAAAACTCATAAATCCAATCCTACTATTTTGGTGTGTATTTTTTCCATCTATCTGTCAGCCATCTTTCTACTGCTTCTGCTGTTTTACAAAATGCACTATACTAACACATTGTGAACACTTTTGGTTTTTGTTTTTTAAGACAGTCTTACCCTGTAGTTCAGGTTGACCTTAAACTTACTATGTAGCTGAGGATGGCCTCGAACTCATTGTAAACACTTTCTCAGTGCTGATAAATATTCTTTTGGGTGCTTGTTTTTTTTTTTTTTTTTTTTTTTTTTGTTTTTTTTGTTAACTTTAGGGACAACAGAGTTTACAGTTACATTCATTGTTGGGATCATGTACCTTTACATGGCAAGTCTTGATTCTCATTTTTTCCCCTTACCTCTGCCCTCCCTTCACCCTTGGGTGCTTGTTTTTGTCTCTTTCCCTCCCATTCTCAAAGGCCCCCAGCCCAGATCCTGCCATACTGATATCATTCCTCAGCGTCCTACTCCTGAAGGAAGTCCTCCAGGTGTGCCTCGGCCCCCTGCCAGCCCTCCTCACAGCCCCTGCTCTGGAGACACTGCTCTCACCCTACAAGGGTGATCCCAAACCTGCATATTCAGCTCTGATCTGCAGCAGCTCCTGGATCCTCCAGCACCTCAACCAACTCATCCAGAGTGAACTCCTTTCAGCCTCGTTCTGCACTCTGTTACTGAGTGCAGCACCCGGGCTGTGCAGAAGGCAGAGGCTGGAGAGCTAAGACTCAGCATTCCCCGAGGCCCCTCCCAGCACAGGGTCACGGTGGGACTGCCTTCACCAACACCTGGATGAGGTGTGTGCGAGGGGCTTGTGTGAGGGGTCGGGTTGGAGAAAGGCAGGCCACTGGCGCTGTAGTGGCCTGTGGTGTGTGTGGTGGGAGTTGTCTCTAATGGTGCGGCTTCCTGATCAAGCAGAGCAGCAGCCATCTTTTTTTTTTTTTCCCTAAGAAAATTTTGCACTTTGTTAATGAAATGTCAACTGCATCCATGCCAGTGTAAAGGGGAAAACTTCAGGTTCAATGGTGTTAGTCTCGTAAGCAGCATAAGTTCCTCTGTTGCATATCTATCTCCTTTTCATTTCAGAGGTTTGGGTTTGGGATATAGAATATGGTTGGCATAAAAGCATGGGAAATATAAAAGTAACAGGAGCAAATCTGCCAGACTTCGTGAGTGGGCTGCGTGTTACTTCCCTTCCCCTTTTCCTTCCTTCCTGTTAACCTTTCACTTGACGGCATCAAATAAAGTGTTTTACAAATAACATCTCTCTGAACATTTAAAAAAAAAATCTATTTCTTTTATATCCCCTTTCATGGCATGTGTTTTCTGTCTTTGGTTCTATTCTTCTTCTTATTATTATTATTTACTATTTACTATTTCTCATCTCACCCCATAACCGAATCTCACTATCTACAGCTACAGCCCCAGCAATCACAGTTTTAGTTGACCTCTCCTCAATGGAGACTTTAAGAAAATCATCAGCTGTGCATGAGCTTCATAGCTGGGATGCTCCTTCTACAGAGGCTTTCCAGATTCCTGCTGTCCTGAGCAGAAAATTGTTCAAGACCAGTGAAAAAGGTGTTAAGGTTGTTATGGGTTATATCTGGATGTCCTCATGCAGTTGTAGGTGGGGCTTTTCAGAGGTGGTTGGATCTAGGGTGTGTGATGCTGGGATCAAGGATGTGATGCTAGGATTAAGGGTGTCCCACCATGGGTGTGAGTGCTACCTGCACTAAATTAAGGGTGGGTAGCCTGGATAGGCTAGAAGGGTCAGAAAGAGGGTCGCTGCTTGTTGCTTGTTGCTTGCTGCTTGCTTCCTTCTGTCTTCCATAAATTGTTTCTTCTCTGCCATGTTGCTCTGCCGTGCCACTCTGTCTTGGAGACTGCTGACTATGGACTGAACTTCTACAAACTGTGAGCCAAATAAAGCTTTCCTTCTTTAACTTTGGGTGTCCAGTATTTTGGCTCACCGCTGAGAAAAGTAGTTAAGACAAAGGTTTTATACATATAAAAGGTAGGAAAAGAAGTATGCTCTGCTGGGTGAGTGTGGGATGGGGCAAAGGTTCACAGTGGCAGCAGTAGCATCTTGGTAACCCAAGTCAGAGTCTCTGGGGGTCATTTCTGGAATCTAACCCAAGAGCCTGTTTTTTCAGCCTTCCCACCATTTCTCTGCGCTTAATCTAGCTGAGAGCCTGCACCTGTACCAGGGCTGGTTATTCGGTAGGTGCTGTTGATAAAGGCAAGCTGGGGCTACTGGAGTATATGGCAAAAGCATTTACTCTTTTTTTTTTTTTCCTGAGGTACTAGGGATTGAACTGAGGGCCTTTGCACTGAGCTACATCCTCAGGCCATTATTATTTTTTACTTCAAGTCTGGGTCTCACTAAGTGGCTAAGTTGCCCAGGATGGGCTTGAATTTGGGATTCTTCTGCCTCAGCCTCCCATAGTGCTGGGACTTCAGTTGTGTGCCTCATCCAGCCATTATGACATCTCTTACATCTGTCCTTCTCTTCCACTGTCATTCTCCGGCAAGTTATTCCACGTCTGGAGCCTGACAACTCTGTCTACCTTGGTTCTCCCACTCCCATTTTTACCCCCTTCAGTTCTTGTCACTGCCCAATGCCAAGAAAACTTGGTCCTTGGCCATGCTGGGTGCAGATTGGATCTGATGCTCAACAGCTCCTGCTGGCTTCCTAATCCAACAGGATGAAACCCCAGCTTGGAGCAGAAAGTCTGAAGTCACCACTTTCAGCCCAGCCTCCCTCTTCAGCTTTGGTTTCCAGGTTTCTCCGTAAGCTGGAACTACATGGATAGCAGCAGCAACATCTTCCTAGAACACCCCCTACCCTCTGCCTCCCAGAATCCTTCCTGCCCCTCCCACCCCACTTCTGTAGGAACCACCTTTCCTGCCTGCCCAGTGCTGGATCTCCACCTGGGATGCTCATATGACTGCCACTGTCACCTCTTTGTGATCAGGTGGTGTTTTCTCTTGAAAATTATTATTGAATGGATTATTCAATGGATCCCACCTTTCCAACCAGACTGTTGCCCCAAGGGAAGGAATATGTTTGAAATTGCATGTCTTCTTTGGCTTCTACCCCAAGATTATTTTTCTATGATTAAAAAAAAAAACTGTGCTGGAGACCCAGTGGCATCTGTGACTTTGGCTCTACATTTGCCACTCCCAGCTGGGTGGGGCCCTCGTTTCACATCTGCATCTGACAACTCCTTGCCTAGAGCATCCTGCACCTCTTGCAAAACAGGTTCCCCCCCTTCCTTCTGAAGTCATCTTGCTTTCAAACACACCCAATGCCCCCTGGCCTCCTAGAACTCTTCATACTCTTTCATGATAATTTTCATTCAAGAGCTTTTTTTCTTTAGTTCTGGAAACTGAGGCATGGAGCAGACCAATCAGGTCAGGGCACACACCTGCAGAATCTGCCTCTGCACAGCCTCAGCCCTGTGCCTATCTCCTGACAGTGACCAGCAGCAGATGCCTTCCCTACCACTGCACAAACTCTACCCTAGGAGGCACAGCACCCTTTTCAGCTGGAATGTTCTCAGATTGTTACATCTACTGCCTGTGATTTTTCAGGAGAAAATTTAAGACTGGAGTCAGGTGCAGTCAGGTGCAATAAAGGACTCAAGTGTCTCTCTGGCTAAAGCCACCAAATGGCCATCCTTACTGATACCCTTACCAGTCATCAGAGTGGCTGCATTTACTGGGTGCTTGTTATAAGCCAGACATTGTTCTAAGAGCTTCGTGTGTATTAAATAACTAAATCTCGACTGCAGTCCTACTGGGGTGGCTGCTGTTGTTATGTCCATTTTACAGGTACAAAGGCTGCAGCACAGAGTGCCTTGGTGACTTGGCTTTGGGTTTACATAGATAAACAGAGGGCCCACGTGGTAGACCCCATCCTGAGCCAAGTCCCATGCACTTCAGCCAGGGATTAGCAGTTCCCTCCTGGGGAGGCAGAAGTACTCCCGGGGATCTAATATGAGCAGGGAAAACCCCTCATTAAAAAGGTTCCCACCAACACTGGGGAGGGGAACCACTGGGGGAGCTGATTTGGGGCCAGAGGCTTGAGAGGAAGGCAGTGCTCACCTGGATCAGTTTCATGGGTTTCGTCCGCAGGGAGAGGGCTTGCTTCTTGCAAGAGAGGCCTTTCACCGTGTCGTACAGCACGTCCAGCTGGGGGTGGACGGCATACAAGCCATCCAGGATTTTTGAGAACTGCTCAGTTACCACCACATTCTGCAGCAGGGACAAATGGACCCACGGTGAGGGTGCTGCCATGGTGTCATCTCCCTGCCCAGCCAGACCAACCCCACCCCCTGCCAAGTTCAGAAGTGTTTTCTTTTCCGATTTGTTCTGTGGTGGGGCTCCTCGCTCCTCAATCGGGATAGTTCTGAGGTTTTAGAGCGTGTGGATTTGATGGTGGGTTTCCTACATGATTTTGATCAGGTGTCTGCATGGAGTGCTGACGGCTTGTCACATGCTGTCAGCCCAGCGCTGCTCTCAGATGGCCAGGCTAAGTGCCTGCATTTGATGGACAAGATAGAACTACAGAGTTGAGAGGCCAGTTCATTCGGACACGAGTGTAGTTCTTCAGGGTGGGCGCCCCGGGACAGGATCCCTCCTTCCAACCATCCTGCCATGGCTCAAACAAACTGCGAGCTCCCCTTTGGAAGAGCCCTCAGAGCTGGTTTATAAGGCACAGAGGAAGTCTCCTGCCAAATAGTGTTCCATCAAACCTGGCTTCCACCAGCTCCAGCAACCTCTGCCAACCCCACATGTGGTTCTGAATACATTTTGCCTTCTCAAAGAATGAGACTCATGCTTGCAGGACAAGGACTGCAGATATTCCGGAGAAGGTCCTAGGAGGGAGCAGGGATTCCGACACTCTTGCAGCACAGTTGGCAAAAGCGCAGGAAAAGGCCAGGCGATGGCTTGCAGGTGGTTTGTTTCTCAAGGGGTCATTTGTTGGAAGCTTGGTGTCTAGGGTGGCGACGTGAGAGCTGGCGGGGTCTGTCGGGGTAGAGCCGAATGCAAGGCAATAGGGTCCCTGGGGACACTATCGTCCGGGGAACTGATGTTGTCCTTTGGGACCCCAGTTACGAAGGAGCAAGGATCCTCTCTCTGGTCTCTGTCTTGTCCTCTCCCTGTCATGTGCACTCCTACCGTGTGCACGCCAGAAAGTGATCACTGACAGACTCTCCAGGGTGGGTCACTTACAGAAACGTCAAGCTCTTCCATCTGAGACTTGGGGTTCTTCTTGATGGACAGGATAAGTGAAACAGCCCCATCCATACTTATAGGGTTCAGGAAGAGCTGTGGGAGGAGAGGCAAGACAGGAAGAGGCTGAGATGGGAGCAGGAGAGGCTGGCTTAGGGCACAACTTGAATCTCTCTCCTCTTTCTCCCCCACCTTTATGCAGTACTGGGAACTAAACCCAGGTCCTTGAGCATGGTAAGCAAGTGATCTGCCCCTGAGCTACATCTTCAACCCTTTTTATTTTATTTTGCAGGACAGTCTCACAAAATTGCCGAAGCTGACCTTGAATTCACAATCCTCCTGCCTCAGCCTCCTAAGTACATAGCTGGGAAGACAGATGTGTGCCAGCACACCCAGTTTGGGCCAACTTCTTAATCCTATTCAATTCAGCATCTCAGAAGCCTCCTTAGCGTCACTGGGCTCTGAGGCTGAATCCTCCCCAGCCCCCGAGGGTGTGGTTGTCCTCTTGGACGGCAGTCTTGTCCTCACTGCACCTGCAGCTCTGGCCACTAAGGCCCTCACATTCTCGATCCCCTACCCAGCCCTACTTTTTGAGGGACTTGGAGTTGCCGTGGAAAGGTGGGTAGAGCTGGCTACTCTCTGCCTCTTGCTAATTGCGTGGCCTGAGTAAGTCACGCAGCCTCGGTTTCCTCATCTGGCTAGTGGAGCTGATAGGGACCAACTTGTTAGGCTGGGCCGTGGGAGAAGCGGCACCCCACCTGGTTCCAGGTGTGACAGGAATGCTTTTGCTGGAAGTCCTCCTCTTTCGCCTGTCTCTAACTGCCCACCAGCTGTGCTACACATCAGTGTGTAACAAATATATTAATGTCAAATGAATCCACTCCTCCATTCATGTGGTACACATGCAATGGGTGTCTACTACATGCCTGGCACAAGGCTGAGTGTGAGGGCACAGTAATGGGCCAAACCAGACCCTGTCTTTGCTCTCGTGAAGCTGGCACACTAGTGGGATGATAGATGACCAAACAGTCACTCAAGTGGGAGAGAATGCAGTTACAGAGGACAGCAGGCTCTTGTCTGCAGGAGTGAGCAGGGTCCTGGGAATGGGTCCCCTGGATGGGAGACCCAGCAGGCTCTCTGCAGAACAACTGTGTGAGCCGTGACCCGCAGCAGAGCAGCAATTAAAGCAAGGGAGGAGAAGGGCGAATCAAGGCCCTGTGTTGGGAAGAAAGCAGGGAAGACCAGGAGGCCTTGGGTGTAAAGCAAGGGAAAGCATGGGGTGGACTGAGGCAGGAGAAGCTCCCAGGGACCAGAGAAATGGATCTGAGCAACTGAGAGGGGGTTTTAAGTAGAAGACAGCAGGTGGTGGTGGGGAACAGAAGTCAGATTTGTATTCTCAAAGTACACTATGTCCCCAGTGTGGAGGAAAATCTGAGAGACACCAGCTGGGAGGAAGAAAGCCCAGTTAGGAGATGGCTGGGGCATGCCAGGGAGAGCTGAGGTCGAACTGGGTCCACAGCAGGAGGTGGACATAAATGTAGGCACACAGGAAGTACAAGACGGATGTTCCTGATGACCCTCTCCAGCAACACCCAGCCCTGTCACCTTACTGCCCCAACTCCATCACAGACAGATATGGACACACACGTACACACACACTCCCTCTCCAGCAACACCCAGCCCTGTCACCTTACTGCCCCAACTCCATCACAGACAGATATGGACACACACGTGTACACACACACACACACACACACAAAGGCTGGTTCCCAGATCAAGGAGAGACTACCTTCAGCACTTGGAGGGTTTTGTTGTACTCCAGTCCCCTGCTGAGTTTGGAGACCCCTTCGTTGCTGATGTCATTGCCACTGACATCCACATGGGTCAGGCAGCTGTTGAGTCTGAGGACCTCTCCAAGGGCCAGCGCTCCTTCATTCCCAAAACCATTCATGGACAGATTCAGTTTCTTCAGGGTCACGTTAGCCTCCAGGGAGGGGAAGCAGCATCAGCATCAAGGCCCTGTGTGACTCAACCCAACAACTGCCCCCACCTCTACCCCCTGCTAGACCAAGCAGTGGTTCTGGGAGAGACGGATCTGCCTGAGCTGTCCAGGTGCTTCCCAGCTGGGCCCATTTGGGTTCTGATTGTTCCCTACTCTTTAATTAAGCTCTCCTCTTGGAGTGTTCCTAAAGATACCACCCAGGCCTCAGCAGGAGGGATTTATACAAAAAGTAATGCAGATGCAGGAGTTGCAGGAGACCAATAACTCAGGAAGCATCTGGTGAGAGCTCAGTACGCCCTCATCAATGGTGACCATGCAGAAGCACATCAAGATGGTGGAATGGGAGGTCCTGGCCATCCTCACCTGGTCTTGGTGTACCCCCCTCAGTGAGCACCTTACCCGGAGACCGCTGCACAAGGCCACAGCTCCCTGAATGTGGAAGTGATTCCAGCTCAGATCCAGCAACTGGAGCCCTACATTGAGGGCTGGGAGAGAGAGGGGGTCAGCTTGGCACCCTGCACATCCAGAGAACACAGCCTCACAGGACTGCTCAGTGGGCATGCAAAGTAAAACACTTGGGGAACAATTTTCAGTTATTTAAACACAAAATATAATATGATTCCCAGTGTCAGGAAAGATTGTATTATCATGGGTGGCAGGTAAGTTGGCAAAGTCTATCTGGCAAATATTATAGGATCACAGATATCTTCCCATTAAAATGTGCATGCCCTCTTTTCCCAATAAAGGTAAGATTTGTGACTTGTACCTATCTGACTGGCAGATTATTATGCAACCATTAAAACAAATGCAGAGCTGGGGATTTAGCTCAGAGGTTCCACTGCCTGCCTCACAAGTGCAAGGGCCCAAGTTCGATCCCCGGTACCAAAACAAACAAACAAAAAATTGCAGATAGCATAGGAAACAGCCTCCAGGCTGTATTTATGAATGTAGTATATAACACTACACAATGTCTTTTTTTTTTTGGTACTAGGGATTGAACTTAGGACCTTGCACTTGCAAGGCAGGCACTGTGCCACCAAGCTAAATCCCCAGCCCATTACACAATGTCTTGTGTAATGTCTACCAGGCTGCCTCAGAGACCCAGTCAGCTGGGGGTGAGAGGCTTCAGGCCTGTTGGGGATCTGAGTTTGCGCAGAGATTATACTCTTTTTTTAAAATTTGAAGATGATATTGCTTGTGTGCTTCATAGGGCCGGGAAGCCTTCCTATTTAAGCACATTATTGTTGTTTTTACTTGGGGAGGCTGGCAATTCTGGGACCTCATTGTCAGGAGAGGCTGAAAGCTTCTGGCACTGTTACTACAGCAGGAATCCCCTTTGGGCTTTGGGCAGCATGTTATGCAACAGTCCTGTCCCTCCCTCTGTGTCAACCACAAGGATGTATTTCAGTAAATTGTACCTTACATTATTTTGAGGACAAAAGTTCTCCTTCCTTTATTCTCTCTCTGTTCCCTCTTCACTCTTTTGTGTATGCATGTATGTATGTATGTATGTATGTATGTATGTTTTTGAGATAGGGTCTTGCTATATATCTCAGGCTGGCCTTAAACTCACTCTGTAGCCCAGACTGGCCTCAAACTCCCAGCAATCTTCCTGCCTCAGCCTCCTGAGTGCTGGACTTACAGGTGTGCACCATCGTGTCTGGCCCCTTCTTTTTTCCTACCCTTATTTCCCTTCCTCTGCCAGTTCCCTCATCAAAGCTACATGTTTGTGTCTGCACTCCTACCTGGCCACACAATTTGAACCTGAATGCTGATCTGCTATCTGTGTGAGTGACCTTGGGCAGGTTGCTTATCTTTTCCTCACCTGTAAAATGAATATTCACCTGTACAGAGTTTTTGAGAGGGTGACGTAAAATGCAACCCATATGCCTTTTGTGTAATGATTTAATATTTGGTAGCCTTAAAAATAATATTTTAAGAACCGGGCATGGTGACCCACACCTGTAATCCCAGCACTCTGGGAGGCTGAGGCAGAAGGATTAAAAGTTTGAGCCCAGCCTGGGCAATTTGAGAACCTAGCTTTAAAAAAATAAATACATAAAATAAAAAGGAAATTGGAAAAGTGGAAACTCAGCTGCCAGGCAGTCCCTTAACACATTGCTGCTCCCTCTTGCCTGCTGTTTTATTCCGTCTTCCTTCTCCTTAATCTTAATCTTTCTAGGGGAAGGTTGTCTTCATGCGGCACCGTGAGAGCTGGGAGCCTTCTTCCTCTCTGCTGCCCTGCACCAGACATCCTACCTCCTCCTATCTTTGGCACATGAACCTCGCTACTTCTCCATTCTTCTCCTGGACACTGCTGCTGCCAACCTCTCAAGGACGATTTGTTTTCTCCTTCTTCTGCAGGATCAGCCTCTTCGTTTTCCTCCTTTCAGCATTTTCAGCCTTAAACATCCTCCCAGGATTGCTTGTCTTCTGACGGCTCCCACCCTGTCCTCCTGCTCCTGCCCTTCCCCTGTCGCTCAGGGTGCCCTTTCTGTCTCTGTGTACCTCATTTTCAGCCAACATCCTCCAGCGGGGCTTCCATACTCAGCCACTTTGTTAAAACAGTGATCGTCAAACTGCCACCTCTGTCCATGCTGCCAAATCCTGGGGTCACTCTTCTTTTTTTCCTGACCTCGAAGCCACATTTGACACAGTCGACTGTGGGTCTCACTACGTAGTTGAGATTGACCTGGACCTCACCATGTAGCCCAGGCTGGTCTCGAACTCACAGTGATCCTCCTGCCTCAGCCTCCCCATTGTTGGGATTACAGGTGTGCGCCACCACGCCCGGCTGCTTCCTCCTCTTTAACCTTCTCCCTCACTGGACTCTTTGAACCCGCGTCCTCCTGGCTTTCCTCCTATCTGATGGACCTCTCCCTCCCAGGCTCACCGTCCTTCTCTCTGCAACCTGAACGCTGAGGGCTGACTGGGGTCAGGACGACCCCTTGCTCAGCTCTACACGCCTTGCTGTGACGACCTCACCCTGTCCCATGGGTTTAAATACATCTCCGCGCTGTGACTCCTAAATGTGCATTTCTGATCTCTTCCCCAAGCTCTAACCGCATGCAGCAGATCTTCTACCTGACTTCCAGGCAGGTGTCGAATGGCCGCTGACTGCCAACACTGCGTGGCTAAAATGAAAACCTGACTTCTAACTCCGGCCCCACTGTAGCTGCTACTCCCTGAGTTTCCCCATCTGAGTAAATGACACCATTATCCAGCCAGTAGCTAAGCCAAAGTAATCACCAATTGGATTTGTTTCTACCTCTGCCCCCCTCACTTCTTCAAGTCCTTTTAGCTTGATTCCCAAGTACATTCTGAATTTCCCCTCCCACCTCTCTACCTACTCCTCCCTGAGCTCACCTAATTGTCCCCTCCCTGAGACTAACACTCAGCCTCCTAACTGGCATCCTGTCTTCCATTCTTGTTCTTTTCCATCGCATTCTTCAAACCACAGACAGGCCAGCTCTAAATCTGCACACCAGACCCTGCCCCTCCTTCACACATCTCTTGCCAGTCACTCCTTCCGTGTGGAGCAGAACCCGGACATGGTCCTTGACTTGTCCCACGAGGTCTGAGGCCATCCGACTGCTGGTCCCGTCCAGTCTCCTTTTTCCTCTCTGCTCCAGCCACCCAGCCCTCTGTTCCAGACGCTGTTCTTCGGGTCCTTGAACACGACCATTCTGCGCTCTGCTCTTTCTGCCTGCACTGCTGTGCCTCCAGAGTTCGGTGCATGATCTCTTCTTTGTTATTCAAGTCCCAGCACAAGGCTCCCTTCTCTCTCCAGCCCACGCACAGTCTAGCAGTGCCATCCTTGGTCCTACTCATTTGCCCAGGGACAACCATTCAGGTTGATCTATTTTTCCCTTTTTATTTATTTAATTTTATTTTCTTGGTACCGGGGATCGAACACGGGTCCTTGCGCTTGCTAGGCAGGTGGTGGAACCGCTGAGCTAAATTCCCGGTCCTCTTCTTTCCTTTTTATAACAGTGCTTCAGTAACCTCCTCAGCCATCTCTCTGTGCAATGCCGTCTCTGAGACGTGCAAAGCAGACTATGGCTTCACAGAATGTACACGCCTCTGTTCCACTCGGCACACTGTTCCACCTCAGCGGTCCTTCGCCGCAGTACCTTTATCTAGTGCCTTGTGAGTAGTTTGTATGTCTCCCGATGTCACTGTTTGATAATTCCTGACTAAATCTGCGGCTTTGACAGGGGACGAGGGGAATCTTTTTTAAAGTTATTTTATTTTGCATTTCTTTATTTCTGAGGTTGGGCAGTTGACTCTCTTCTTTCAGTGCCCATGTGTTTTAATTATTCTTTTACTAGGAGAATATATCATTCGCTAATTGGCTCATAGATTATTTAAAAGACAAGGTCTTGCTATGTTGCCCAGGCTGCCCTCTAAGTCACAATTTTCCTGCCTCAGCCTCCCGAGCCCCTGGAACTATAGGTGCATGTCTCTGCAGCCGGTGATTTACAGGGTCTTTTATCAGTAACCTGAACACTAATCTTTTATATTTATACAAATGCCACAAATATTCATTCCTTGTCTGTTGCTAGTTTTAGGGTTGTCCATAGTGTCTTGACCATACACATGGTTTAATGTATTATTGTCAAACATGTGAATTATTTTTGTTATAGTTTATGCCCACTGTGCCACACAGAATTATCCTTTGTCTCCTCAAGGTCAGCCAGTTGTATCTCCATGTGTTCTCCTAATCTGTGGAAAGGTTTATTTCTCAAATTCAGGCGTTTGTTTCAGTTAAAATGTATTTTGGGCACAGCGTACAGAACTTGTACAATATGAACATTAAAAAATAATTTAAAAGTAAAGGGAGATTCAGCACTGATAGGTGATCCTCCCCTTCCCCCCAGGGAACATACCCAGCATCTGACCCAGATACTCCCCTCCTTTATCAGAGAATTCATTGTGACTGAGATTCAGCTTCCTAATTCGGTAATTGGCCTAGCGGAACAAACAGGGGAAGGAGAGATTATGTTTCTCCTCTGACTATAATTCTTTTACCCACTTATCCCAGGGCAGTATGCTGGAGGGCTCTCAGGTACCAAAAACTAGGTGGGCTGAAAGCAATGCAGAACAATCTTTCTCTCTTGCCCTCCCTTTTCGTTGTTGCTGTTGCTGCAGCTCTAGGGATTGAACTCAGGGCCTCACACATGCTAGGCAAACTCTCTACCACCCAGCTTCATCCCCGGCCCTAAGAACAATTTGTTGATTTTTTTGTTTAATAGTTGATGGCTTCTGGGAAAATGTGGTGCCTTCCCGAAAGTCCTACCATTTGCTGCTACTTTTGCTAGGGCTGGCAAAGGGCAAACATTTATCACCTCCCTAAGCCATGCACATGGCCTTGTTTCACTATGCCTAGCACAGTCCTCAGCTCACCCAACACCCCAGGAACCCCCTTTCCCATATGACTCGGCTGCGCCCCGTACCGCTTACCGACAGGGCTTGGCATAAGAGGGCTGCAGATTCTTCCTTGAAGTTATTTCCTGTAATGAGGGTGCTGTGTTAGCAATGCTCTCCCGATCACGGCCCCCTTCCCGTGCCGTAGCGCGCCATCAGCTCTCTTGCTTCAGAGCAACCAGATACAGAAAAGATGACAAGAACTTAAAGCAAATTATGTGGACACAAGAAAATAGGAGGAGCTGTTTACCATTTCCTCCAATGTTTTCTTCTCTATCTGACCTTCAAGTACGAATATCTGTAGCTTAGAAAGAATGCTTAACATTTTGTTCTACAAACAACTATGTATTACAACTGATCTTTCATACAAGAGAAATAAAAGAGAAAACGTGTATCTGAAATGATGTTCTACTGAGTACTATGTATTGAGCATCTGTTCAACAGATGTGCTAAGCACTTCAACTTAATAGCAATGTGGGTATATAATGAAGATAATAGTGACGAATATTAACAAATATGTTTATGCTAGATATTCTCCTCGGCATTTTAGCTTTTATGTAACTCAGTCTTCACAATCACTGTTTGAGGTGCGTAATAAAACCTCCCTTAGAAAGACGAGACACAAAAGGGTCAACTAACCTAACTGGTGTCAAAGCTGTGACTTCAACAACTCCACACTGAGCCATCTGATTCACAAACATCTTGCTAATGACACTTCTGGGGACAGCACAGGGAGACAGTCCCCTTGGCAGAATTGTAATCTGGTACAGGTTTCTTAAGAGGAAATTTGGAAATCAATTTTTAACCCATGGTGCACCGTTATTTCTGTGTGCTTATCTTACTTCTTAGAGATGTTAAATAAACTATGCTATATCCAGAACATGGAATACTACCCAGAAAATGAGATAAACCTATTTGTTCTTCACAGAAAGAAATCCAGGTGGGGTGTAGTGTGTCCACTTGTAATCCCAGCACTAGGGAGGCTGAGGCAGGAGGACTGCAGTAAGTTTGAGGCCAGCCTAGGATACACAATGAGTTCAAGACCAGGCTGAACTACATAGTGAGACCCTGTCACAAAGAAACAAACAAACAAATGAAACACAAGAAACTTGGACTAATTTCCCTCTTGTTAGTGAAATTAGGGAATAATACTTGATACATAATAACATTTATATTAAAAATAAACTATTTCTATATGTTCTCTTTTAGATATTTCTAATATCTTTCCCATATCATCATCTTCCTTCTTTCCTTTGTTCTTTCTTCACTTTCTTCCTTTTGTACTGGGGGTTGAATTTAAGGCCTTCTCATTGAGCTACACTCCCAGTCCTGTTTAAATTTTTGAAAAAATTTTGAAATGAGGTATCACTGAGTTGCTAAATTGCCCAGGCAAGGCTCTAATTTGTGATCTTCCTGCCTCAGCCTCCCAGAGTACAAAGATTATGAGAATGCATAATCTTCTTTGTACCCTAAATGACTTTCAGTGCCTGACTCTTCTCTTTATCTTAAGTGCTTGTTTCGGTGATACCTTGGACTGTGGATTTCTTTTTATGTATTTTTCTTAGGACTTACTAGCATTACTGTATCTGAGAGTTAGTCAATTCAAGAAATGTGTTAGCTATTACTCGTTCAAATTTCACTGTATTCATTTTTTTTAAAATTGTTGTTGTTGGTTGTTGACTCCTGAGTCCTATCAGCATAAAATCACTTTCTATGTTTCTTTCCTGGTTTAGGGGTTCCAAGTAGCATAAATCTGCAAACCTGAGTGAGGACAAGTCTGTGGGTACCAGAATTCACGTGTGATTTTTCCCTCCATGGAACTTTGATAATGAACTAATTTTAAAATTGGTATATAATGAGGATCTGGTGGAAATAAACACCATTAAACAGGATAGAGAGACAGGATAGACTGATGGCAGAGTGGTATTTCCATAGAGTGGCCAAGAGCATCCCACCAAGGACATTTGAACAGAGCCTTGAGTGAGGAAAGAGAGGAAGCCGCGAGAGCCACATGCACACATGTGGGGGTGAAGATGTTCAAGTAGTGGAAAGAGGGTCACAAAGCGAGTCAGGAATGGCTTGGTGAAGAAATCAGGGAGCCACTGTGGCTGTGGAGCGGGAGGGATGAATGTAGAGCAGGAGTAAGTTATACTATTCTGGTTTCTGAGGCCAGAAAGAGCTGGTCTGGTTCAACTAGAATCTGGGTCTTCACTGCTTCTCTTCTTCCCCTGTCTCGGAGGATTCGCTCCCTTCTGTTCTGTGATCTCACCTGACAGCTCAAGTTGCCAGAGCGAAGAAATATTTCTCTGGAGGAAATCTGAGATGATCTTGGCCCCCTCCAAACCCAGGTCATTGTCAGAAATATTCTAAAAGGCAAGAACACACTTGTGTAAGTACAAACCCCAGCAAAGGGTCCTCGTTAACAAATGAGGGCAGGGTGAGGTTTCTGTGGGAGCAGGGTTGGGTGGGGAGCGAAGGCTGAGTGAAAGGATTAGAAGAAAGAAGGATTAGGGTCACAGGAAGGAAAACCCGCCCCCTGTCTGGCTTCTCTGATGTAGTGCTGCTGAAGTTGGTTCAGTGACTCCCCACTTCCAACCAGCTCAGCCCTGGTACTTTAATGAGCACATTGTTTTGTTTTGCAACTCAAAGCAGCTTCGTTGGGAGAGTTTGGCTTTGGCATGAAACAATTAAAAAGTGAGCTTGAACAATCTGGGTAAATTCCATTCACTGATTCACGCCATGCTATAGAGAAGTAGGGATAAACTCAGACACAGTTCTGTCAGGCTAGTGGGAGAGACCTTATATAAACCAGCCAGTGTCATCCTACCTTCTTCCCTTTCTTAAAAATTTTATGGTGGTAAAATATGTATACACAACATTTACCATCATAGCCATTTTTAGGTGCACATGTTATTGGGATTAAAAAATATTCCTATTGTTGCACAACCGTCACCAACATCTGTGTCCAGGCAGGTTGTATTTTATGTAATTATTTCATGCCTTTATTCTTTTAAGAAAGCTCACTTTCCGACAACCGGGTAGAGATAAATGTCCCCCTTTAGGGTATAAGGTTTCCTGCAGCTATGGTTAACACAGATCCCTGGCCAGCCTCTGGGCACAGCCCTCCTTGAGAAGTCACATCTAGTGGGGAGGAGACTGCAGATTGGGGTAGACACCCCGAGGCTGAGCTGGGCCTGGCAGGGGACTGTGGCGTGGCCTGAGTAGGTGGCAGGAGGAGGCAGCAGAGCAAGGCACAGTACCAGCTCCTGGAGATAGTAGTTCTCATGCAGCATCTCCACCAGGCTCAAGACACCCTCCTCCATGATGCAGTTGTCTTCCAGTTCCAGTCCGATGATAGCCGTGTTGGACTTCAGCCACCACCAGGGAAAGGGGAGAAGGACATGGAGGTAGTTGGTGACCTAGTCAGTTCCCTGCTCCCTCTGGTTCAGAACTCTTGAACATCCCAGTTAAGGAAAAGGGCGCAATGGTTTGGTTGTGGCTGTGCCCCAAGGGTTCGTGTGTTGGAGGCTTAGTCCCCAGATGGCCATTTGAAGAGTTAATGGGACCTTTAAGCGGAATGGCCTAGGGGAAGGTCTTACTGACCCTTCCCTGTGTCTTCCTGGCTTATCGTGTCCCCACTCCCTCTCACACTTGTGATGCCAGCTGCCAAGTGGCTTTCACCAGAGCCAAGCTGATGTCAGTGCCACCACCCTTGAATGCGGTGAACTAAATAATCCTCTGTCTAAAGTTAATCAGCTTCAAGTATATTGCTACAGTAATGGAAAATGGACTAATAGAGAAAGTTTGGAGATGCAGGTTAGGAGTGTAGAAGGTGTGGAGAGAGAGGACAAAGAGAGTGGTGCAGAGGATGAGCCACCCCACTGAGTTCTGTAGAACAATGTGCTTTTCGGGGAAAAGCTCCAAGAGGGTCATTAAATCAATTAAAGGCCTGAGAAACCAGAGCCACAGGGATGAGCTAAATAGATTCTAACCAGGGAGCCTGAAGGAGAAAGGACTGTTACTTATGGCAAGATGGAGGAAAACGATACATTTAACAGGAGAACATGAGCGAGAAGATTCTTGCAGGGAGGCCATCTAAAGCATTTGATTTGCTTCTCCAAGAACTTTTCTTTCAGTTTAGCCTTGATCTTAACTGATTCTCTTTCTCTCCCTCTTTTTGCAGTGCTGGGAATGGGATCTAGGGCCTCACACAGGCCAGGCAAGCACTCTACCACTGAACTACACCCCGGCCCTGATACTCTTTTAATAAGAGGCTGTCTCAAGCCTTTTGGAAGGAGCTGGATTTAGATCTTCAGGAAATATCAAACGCACGCTAGTCTGCGTTCTTCCTGAAAGCAAGATGAGAGGGAATGACTCACATTGCAGCACGCAGAACTGGTATTAGCTCTAAGCAGAACTTTTATTCTTCTCTTTTCGCCCTTGTTCCCAGTACAGTGTCAGAGAACAACAGGCCCATCTTTGGATTTGAGAATTTTCAAAGCCCATCTAGCAGTGGAGAAATATTAGGTATTAAGGAGCCTTCATGCCTGTGTCATCTCTCAGCAAAAAAGAAAATGTGAGAGCTGGAGCTACTGCAATGCAGAAGGTATGCCAGCGCCTGGAAGGAGGCTCAGCTGCCTCACAGCTAGGTGCTGTTTATCAGCGTCTGGTCCCGTGAGCTGATTCCACCCAGAGTCAGGCTTGGGACCTGCAGCTCATAGGGTGAAGCAGGAGGCTCACTCACCAAGCCACCCACACTCATGTCCCACGGGCCAGTGTCTGCTTGTCGTTCTCTGTGCTGAGTGCTAGGGAAACAAGATGAACAGAGAATATCCCTGCACTCAAGTCCCTCCCCAGCCCCATGATCAAGTTCAAGGGCCTGGTGCTAGGCAGGAAGGTATACAACCCAGACTGAAATATGATCCCTGCTATGAGGATGCTTCTACTATTAGCTGGGGAAAACACAGATCTGTGAAAATTTAAACAGCGGAAGAGAAAGTCTAGTTCACCACGACACCACAATGAGCTGTTGTCAAATAAATGATACAGAGAAAAAGAGAAGAATAGCTACCCTTCCCAAACAGGAGCTGCCGTCAATAAAACCTAAGTGTTCCAGTCCTGAGAGGGTCCGACTGCTACCCACTTCCCGCCATGAAGCTCACGAGGCAATGGATCATTCCCAACACTTCATCAATCAGTGTTTCAGCCCTCAGTGCATTTCGAGATGGCTTTGTTCCTTCTCTGCTCTTCTTTCTCTTTCCCAGAAAACAGTGCAATCATCTATTTCATGCAGCTTCTTAATGGGCTTGAGCTAAATGCAAATGCTGCTATGTTTTCAGAAAAGAGGAACATGTGGGGCAGGAGGCAAGGAAAAATAAGGCATAAATTTCACAGAAACGCTCTTCAGTGCCAGCTGGGGACAAGGACCCCCAAGTGGCCAGCGCACCATCGATGCCTCAAGGAGCTTACAGCCTATCTATGATAATGTTCAGCGATGGACACCGATGGCGGACTGCAAGGCTTTTGGAAGTTGCCATTCATTTCCTAGCCGGGTAGACATCAAAGCATAGACTCGCCCTCCTCATTCATCATCCTCTTAGACTTCTGCCTCGTGGGACCTGGCGGAGTCCACCTTCTGGCACTTGTCCTTCCTGTCTCTTACCAGCTTCTACCACCTCTCAGTCATTCCCTATGGAATTCACTGACGCCTCTTCTCCTTCAGATCTTTTGGAAATGCATACTTTAAAAATCATCCCTTTGTAGGGCTGGGGATTTAGCTCGGTGGTTCCGTCACCTGCCTTACAAGGGCAAGGTCCCAAGTTCGATTCCCACTACAAAAAAACCCCCAAAAACCTATTCCTTTGTTCTGTTATTTTTCCTCTGTTGTTTCTTTCCATGATCAGTTTGAAGACTACTAATTTTGTTTTTTTGTTTTTGGGTTTTTGAGACAGGGTCTCACTATGTATTTGGGACTCACCTCAACTCACTATGTAGCCCAGGCTGGTCTCAAACTCCCAGTGATCCTCCTGCCTCAGCCTCCCGAGTGCTGGGATTACAGGCATGTGCCACCATGCCTGGCTGAAGACTACTAATTTTAAAGTATCACCTCTAAAGAACATTTACCTCTTTGCCTTTCTGAGATTTCAAAAATTGAATTTTTAAAAATTTGAGATTTCTCTTTGCCTTCCTAAGTGAACAAATGCTGTTGTGTAGACATTAGTTGCTATATTTTCTGTGATGAGAGTCAGTTTTGTACATAGCCAATCGTAAATATATAAAGCTATGATGAATTTAAGGTCAAGTTCTTGTTCCAGTCATGCCAAGCCAAGAAATAACATTACTCCTGAGGGGAAATGAGGTTTACTGTATAGTGTGGTCTGTCTTTACAAATTCTAATGCTACAAAGAGATACCTTGAAAGGAGTGGCTTAGCAGCAGACTCATTACAGAGGTAGCTTTGTAGTGGACCCCCAGGACTGAGTATTGTGCTCTTGCAGGAACTTTTAAGCCCAATTCCAGCCCAGGCCCTTGCCCTGGGCCCGCAGGCTGGGACTTTGCTTCCTGAATGGCAGCAAGATCCTGGTCTCTAGGTGAATACTTCCCGGAGCTCAAGGGGAGTATGTACCTGTCTTGGAAATCACCTGGCAGCCAAGCAGACCCCAGGCAGGAGAACAAAGGTTCTCCTTCTAGGCTCCAAATGAGAGGCCTTCTGAATCTTGGGCCTGTCATCTTGTCAATCATCCAGGGTCCATGTGTCGCCTCCCCCAAGCATGCTTACCACCAGGGCTATAGCGATAGCCTTGGTACCCATGGGGCCCAAACCATGGTGGCTGAGTTTCATGTAGGGCTCTTCCATGTTCCGGATGAAGTAAGAGACAGGCACCACACCCACCAGTTTGCAGGCCTCCAGGTACAGCTCCCTTTGTCCAGTGGTGAAGGATCTCTCAGTATCTACAGAGAAAGACAGGAGGAAGTTGGCTTTGCCGTGTCTTCTGGCTAGCAACAGGCAATATTCATTTCTGACTGGAGTTTCCTCTACCAGGGATCCGCCCCTGTGGATATATGCTGTAGAAGCAACCACCAATCCTGGTGTCAGCCAGTAGTAGGAGAGGGAGGCACTAATCCCAGATAATCCTAAATGGACTTCTCCCTTTGGGTAAGATATGAGGCCTCTGACTTGAGGCCCCAGGCTTTTCCAGCAGAGATTAGAGGTACACCCTCATTCCACCCTCCCAGGTGGGCGGCATCCAGTGGCTCATCACCAGGGACATGGAGAGGCCCTGCCTCCTGCCACATTGGAATGGTCTCAAAAGGTAAAGACAGTAGGACAAAGCTAGGACTTTAAAAATTTTTATATCACTGGTACTAGGGATTGAACTCTAGGGTGCTCTACCACTAAGCTCGTCCCCATTCCTATTATTATTATTATTATTATTATTATTATTATTATTATTATTTTCATTTTGAGAGAGTTTCACCGAGTGACCCAGGCTGGCTTCAAACTTGCAGTCCTCCCGTCTTAGCCTCTCAGAGTGCTGAGATTACAGGTGTGTGCCACTGCGTCCAGCTTGGAGACTTCTCATGGTTGAGGGAGCCTCTGTTTCGG